GGAAGCAGGTGCACAGGGCTTCCCAGCGGTGTGGAGTTTCCCTGGGCAAAGTGCACCGATCAGATCTGTGTCACATTGCTGGACAAAGACACTGACATTGTCTCCCTGTGGATGGGCTTGTCACCTAAACCGTTCTGAAATTCCTTCGTGTCTCAAATTCATGTGAATGCTCTTAGGCAGCCCTTCAGGAATGCTGCTCAACCACACACACACACACACACACACACACACACACACACACACACACACATATATATATATATATATATATATATATGACATATATATACATAAGAGCCAGAATTCATGAAGACAGAGCTTATGGTGGATTTGAGAATACTCTGACATAGGATTATATTCACAGGCTTCAGAATCAAGGAATTCTGGATCAAGTCTTCATACCTAAAGGGCTTGAAGAGTGTATTCAGTTCTGTCTGCTGCAGTAAAACATCACCACAAATTTATGTAGCTTTAAAAAAAACCCACAAAGTTGTTACCATGCATGTTAGGAAGCCTGCAATCTCAATTAGTTTTTCAGGGATACAGTCCTTCTGGGGACCCTGAGAGGGAATCAGAGGATGACTATAAAACAGGAATTCCTTGGTATGTGGCTCCTCCTACCATCTTGAAATCTCATCTTTCACTTTGGACCTTCCACTTCTCTCTTATAAAAGACTCCTCTTATTCAGTGGACTGACTCCTGAAAGAGGATGAATCGCAACACCTCAAGACTCTCAACTCAGGTCTGCAGAGTCTCATTGGGTGATGAGATGCTGCAGAGGCACACCACAGCTGCTCACACTCAGAAAAATCCGGTTACAGTGCATGACTGTTGTGGGGTGAGCGGCCCCCTTCTTATTGGCTATGAGGCCCAATCCCTAGGAGGGAATCCATTGCCTGTAACGTAAACCTGGTTAAAAGCCAATGACTGTGGATGTCCTAGGCTCTAGGTAGAAACCTACTACTGTTCTCATAAGTGGATATGATGTCGAACAGCCTTCTAAATATTTATTTTTATGTTCATAAAACAGCTAGTTTTAGTGCTGCTAGTTCCAGAGAATAAGATCAGAGCAGAGAGGCTTCTGTTTGCAGTGGGTGGTGGTTAGTGCTTAATTGGACAAAGCCCTGAGAATAAGTGCCTGTTGCATGCTCATCCCTAAGTGAGGCTGTGTTTCCATCTCTGCAAGACCCAGGGCCCATCCCAGGTGCAGAGGAAGAAACAACACAAGAGCCAGAAGATGGGGATGAGAGCAGTGAGATGCTGTCTTCTGGACATGGCATGGGGACTGTGTTCACGAACTCACAGGGGATAGGGTCACCTGTACAAGATTATTCCAGTTAACATTCCAGAGGAGGGGATCATGAGGCCCCTAACCTTCCCTGAGGAGGAACTGTCAGCTAATGGTTGCTGGGCAACGGGAGAGTAAATTTCTTTAGTGGTGTAGCCACTGATAAATTGCCCCTTGCTTCCATAAACAAAAACAAACAAAAATCCCTGCTCATACTCATGCATGCAACCCTAAATAAACGCAGTGAGTCACAAGAAAATACCAAAACAAACAAAATAAAACACAAGACATGGACGTAAGAGAGGGACTTGGTGGGAAGAATAAGGATTCAGTAGGAGTGGGAAATCCGTGAAAGAGGGAACTGAGGGGTAAAAATGACCCAGATACATTACGTCCATGTACAAAATTAAAGAACCTTTAAAAATTTAGAAAAGCTCCTGGCGCGATCCCAAGAGTAACGCTAAAAGAAGTTGCATCAGACGGCCTATTGAAGACCACACCTCTGGGTAGAGAATCTAGCGCATTGCTGGGATCCAGAATGCAGGTAAAACGCTTGGTCTCAGTCCTGGTGAGAGAGCAGGGAGAGTCACAGACTCAGCTTGTGAGGGAGCGAATCTACAGAAAACAATCACAGGCTAGGCTCCAAAACAGGGAGCCCTTGGGATCCATGCCTGCAAAGCGGTGGGAAACAGGGATTGACAGAGGGGGGTCTCAGCTAACACCACCAATGCTCAGAAGTGCACTTGACCCCTCATTGCTAGGAGAATTGAGCATCTCATGTTGAAGGTCTCCCAAATAACCTGCTCCTCCCTCCAAGCTACCTATATCTCCTGGTGACTACCACTGCGGTAGTCGGTGATGGGGGTGACAGCTGAGCTAGGGAGATCTGGCTTGGACATCGTCTACTCTGGAATCTCGGCTTGCTTGTTCTTGTCTAGATCTTGTGCAGGCCACTGTGAGTTCCTGAGTGCAATGGACTGGACATGTTCATAGGACACTGCTTCACAGACACTCTGCCTGACCTCTGGTTCTTTCAATCTTTCAGTGTTTCCTGAACCTTGTTGGAGCAGGTGTGCTATCAATGTCTCCTATAGGCATGAGCAGTCCACAGTTACTTATCCTCTGCACTCTGACCAGGGGCATTCTGTGTTCATTGCTGTTCATTGCAAAATCAAGCTTCTCTGCTGAGAGCTGGGGAGCGCACACTAATCTGTGGGTGCTGGGAGTTAGACGGGGTTTCAAAATTTTAACACAATAGATCCGTGGGCCATATTTTTATACAGCCATATGAAGGTGAATTTTACTTTGGAGTATAGGTGTAGGCTGGGTATCATTTGGGAGCCATCAATAAATGAGGCATAATAGAATGTCAGAGCCTGTGTAAGAATCAGCTCCCACAGCTTTGAAGAGTGGTAGGAACTGAGTTATAGAAATTTCTTGTTGCCATGCCTGGCACATAATAAAATCTCAATAAATCATTGTTTCCATAGCAGTAACAGTTCCTGATCTAAGAAGAAATGTTCTTCACAGGAGTTTCTGCAGAGAAAGTCACCCACGGCTCACATTGTCCTCCTGCCTCACCTCTGACCCTTCAATCCTCCTGACTTTTCCTTCATGGAGGAAGGCCCAGAGTCAGATGTGCTCCGACATGTCTTGTCTGGGTGACTTGGAGGTCTCCAAGAGGGTCTTCTTACTCCTCCCTCCTCGCTGAGAAGCGACCACTGCTCTTTAAAACATGAACAAAACCATCCCCACTCCTCTGCTTCAGTATGTCCCGTGGCCATGCACCTCCTGGGGAGTCAGCTCAGCAGGGATGGGATTCTTTGAGACCATAGTCTGGTCTGCTGTCTTCTACCACCTTCTCCTCCTGACCTGGGCTCCCCTCTCATCCCACCCCGCAGTTCACTGTGTTCCAACCACACTGGCCCCAGCTAGCCACACACCTGCGCTGTGCCAGGCCTCTGTACTTACTGCTCCCCTAGCCTACGGCACTCCTGCCCCAGGTAGTACTCCAGCTCACTCCCACCTCCTTCAGGTCTGCCCAGGTCACATGAGAAGATACCTGTGCTGGCTAGTCTTGTGTCAACTTGACAGGAGCCAGAGTTACCTGAAGGGAAGGAACCTTAATTGAGACAATGCCCTCATAAGATCCAACTGCACGGTATTACCTTAATTTGTGACCGATGGGAGAGGGCTCAGCCCACTGTGGTGCCATCCCTGGGCTGGTGGTCCTGGGTGCTCTAAGAAAGCAGGCTGAGCAAGCCATGATGAGCAAGCCAGTAAGCAGCACTCCTCCATGGCCTCTGCGTCAGCCCCTGCCTCCAGGTTCCTGGCCCATTTGAGTTGCTGAACTGACTGCCTTGATGATGAATGTGATATAGCAGTGTAAACCGAATAAACCCTCTCCTCCCCAAGTTGCTTTGGTCATGGTGTTTCATCACAGCAATGGCGATCCTAACTAAGACACACCCTTCCCTCTCTAGCCTCCACAAACCCCAGTTTTCCCTTACCTTCTAGGCTCATGCAGCTGTGGGGCATTTTTATCCATACTGGATGTTCTTTTCAGATCACATGAAGATTGTACGCAAGAATTCCCCACTCCTTTCTCCTAGTAAGATGTAAACTTTATTAAGGTAAAATAGCGATTTTATTTCTATGCTATTAACTCTATTTTGAGACAGGGTACTCCTGTGTAGCTCAGCCTGTCCTGAAGCTTGCCACCCTGCCTCAGCCTTCCAGGAGAGATAGGATTACAGGTGTGTGACTTCCTTGACTATATAAGAAATAAAATAAAGACTCATCCTGATTTTTTGGAGGACCAGAAAGTACAGGAGAGATTTGGTTCATAAAGAGGTGTCTCTAGGCCAGGTAGCATTTAGCATACGATAGCCACACGTGCCTGAGTCTTGTAGATGGCAAAAGTAATAAATTGAAACTCTCAGTGAAGACAACATCACTCTAATTATGCTGAGTGACTCCAAACTAAACCTCAAAACAAAAGGTCAGCAGCTCTTTCCTTGGGAGCCTTAAGTACTCAAAGCGCCCCATTAACCTTTGCTCCCTGCTTTTAGATAGCTGTGGCTATCAGTCCCTACAAGTACCTACACAGCTGCCATTGGCTGCTCTTTACTGTTTCACTTGCAGTTTCCTGGTGGAGACCGCAGACTGCACTTGTCCACAGTTTGAGATCCATGGTTTCGGGGCCGAGCCGTGTCAGTGTTCTGTCAGAACACTGTGGCTCTAGAATCAGATATCCACCGAAGTATTTCCCGGACTTCCACACACCCTCGCTCAGCAAGCAGCCCTTCCCCCAACAGGGTCGCCCAAAAGGCTCACAGCCCTAGGCGGTCAGGGTTTGGCCCGCATTTTTAAACTTCTATACTAGTTGAAACTCTCTCGAGCTTGGCAGGACTCCTTGTTTCAATTACCGGCGGAGATCTGGAGACATGGTGCTCTTCTTTTCTCTCTTCTGGTTTCAGCTTCTGGAAGAGGGAAGAGCCCGTTTGTACAACACAGCGTCGTCTGGGAGGGCAAGAGGGAAGCCCGTACGTAGCCAACTCTCACTGAACACAGCTTTGAAAGGCATTCCAGCATCCGGAGCCAGATATTTGGCAACTCAACTGTTAACTTTCTGTGTTTTTTTTTTTTTTTTTCCCTCCCTGGGATCAATGTGACGTCATCAGTGTAATTTGAGTCCGGGAGCTTTGTTCACACTTTAAATAGCAGTCCAGGGATGATGTTCTGACAGACTCCCTGGAAGGGCCTGAGCTGAGCTAGGGGAAGACTTACATCGATGAAAGCGAAGCGAAGCCACCAAGCCACCAGCATGTCCTCGTCTCTCCGAGTAAGCCCGTCCATCCACGGCTACCACTTTGACACGGCCTCCCGCAAGAAGGCTGTGGGCAACATCTTTGAAAACGTAGACCAGCAGTCCCTGCAGAGGCTCTTCAGGAACTCCGGAGACAAGAAGGCAGAGGAACGGGCCAAGATCATCCTTGCCATTGATCAAGATCTGGAGGAGAAAACACGAGCCCTGATGGCCCTGAAGAAGAGGACGAAAGACAAACTTCTGCAGTTTCTCAGACTGAGGAAGTATTCCATCAAGGTGCACTGAGCCTCCTCACAGGATGGGTAAGGAGCTTATCCACCAATGGACCTTTAAAGACAGACCCAGTGAGCCTGCCAGCCCGGCCAGGGCAGTGTCCCGCGCACCGGCTTGAGCACCTCTTCCATCAGGACCCTGAGGATGGAAAGGGATGGAGCACACCAGCTACAAAGACTTCAACTCTGTGTCAGCTCTGAGCTGTCACACTGAGAGCAAAGTGCCTTCAGCAGGCGGTTGAGAACTCTCCCAGCAGGAAAGGGCTGACACGGACTTGGTAGAGGAGGATGGAAGCACAGAACAGAATGTGGCAGACAGGGACTGAGTGCACCCAGGGTCACTGGCCAGGCCCTAAGACTGAACTCAAACCTAACTTGGTTTTAGTTGTTGTTGTTTAGTTTGTTATTTTGTTTTTTTCTTTTTTTTTTTTTTTGAAAAAAATAAGTGTCAAAGTGGGTAGGGAGAGGGAGGAAGGAGGAGGACTAGCAAACAAATGGTTTACTGCGTTTTTTTAAATCTGAATGTTTAAAATGTGGCTAAACCTCCATGCTGTTTATTGGTCAAGATTTTTAGAAATCAGTAATTGACTGCTTGCATTTATTTCAATGCCTAAGAAAGTGCATCGCCTGGTGTTAAAGACAAGGAACTGCGTGCTTTGCCCAGCCTGGGAAAACCCACACCACTGTCTACATGTTTCTAGAGGATTTATACACATTTCAAACAGGTTTGCACCAAGTTGAAACAATGGGGCTCTTCATAAATCTGAAGTACTGTGAACAGTTTTGTAATGTTTTTTACTCTTTGACTAACGCTAGCATCTAATCTAATTAAATGTCCTAAAGATAATGCAGCAAGTATTAGGAAGTGAATGTGGAAGGTTTCAGAAGGACGCTGTGGTCTTTATAATTTATTATAGATTGTAAGTGATACGCAGCCCTAATAAATTATTATCATCTTAGCTTCTCTTGGTCTGTGATGATTGGTCCCAAAGGAAAAAATAGGATGGTAAGTTTGGATTACCATAAATTTTTATAGGGGGCCGAGTCTTAAGCTGAAGGGGCTTTGAGAACAGCTTTAAGCTGACCTGCCAAACTTGCCCCCAAACAAACTATTGCCCCAGTTTTAAAACATCGTGGCGTGGATATGGTTATCAACAGAGTAATTTGCCAACACTGCCTTTATATATCCATTATATAGCTTCATGTTTGTGAAGTCTCTTCTCTGTCACTAAAGCAGATATGCGTGGGTACCCACTTATTTCTTTCTGAACAGTATGTCTTGAAGTTAGAGTGAATTATGATAAAGTTTCTGTGGGTTATTATAACATTACCACCTCTTTCCTTATTTCAGCATAATTTATAATAAAGCATTTCTAAGGAGGCATACACAAATACCCACTGTGCTTTCTTAACAGAAAGGCAATACAGTCCCCAGAAATTGTTACAGCAAAACCTACCAAGATTTTTTTTAATGCTGACTACAGTATATCAAAACACATGACCTATCTGAAATCTTCAGGAGGGTTAAAAGCCAGAATTTTAAATACAAAAATTATAAAAGGAAAGTAAAGTAGTTAGAAAAAACTATATTCAGCTAATAATTATTAAGTTGTGGAAGGTCATTACAAATTAATCCTTGGGACCCTGGATCCTCATCTAGGGTTGTAGTCAGTATTTGATCACTTGGCCAGGAAATAAAGAAAAAGTGAAGGAAAAGTTGTTCTAGAAGCATGTGTGTGTGTGTGTGTGTGTGTGTGTGTGTGTGTAATGCCCTTGAGCATTTTTTCTGGGAGTATTATTCACAATCATCATCAGATTTTCAAAGACAACAATTACACCAAAAGAATTTAAGACCCACAGAGCAGGGCTTCACAGGGAACAGTCAGGTACCCAGAATACGATTACGAAAATGGCGGCCGTGGAGCAGCCCTCTGCTCCGTTCCTGTCTGTCCACCTGAAGCACCCTGAGCGAGCTGACTGCTGTCGGTGTGCTCCTGGAATAAGTTTCCTGTTCCTTATGGGAACCATCATGGGGAACTTTTCAGTTGCACTTTATTCAAAGACAGAGCTGGGCATGGCCGCCTGTGCTGGAAATCCTACCACTCAGGAGGATCATGAGTTGGAGGCCAGCAAGTCTTAAAATTCAATCAGTTCGTCCATTCCTCCACGCACCCCAATGAAGGAAGTGCATCTTGAGGCTGAGCTGAGACGGGGGTTTAGTTCACTAAATGCATTCAGAACTTGTCTTCTGCTGCTGTTGTTCCCTGTAGTGTGCAGTGTGGTCTTGTGTTCTGACACACGCACATTAACCTGTTTTGGGTGACTTATTATTATTATTTTCTGATTTCAACCCCAATATATGAGGGAGAGAAACAAAAACCCCTCCAACAGGTTGTTACAAGCACTCTTCTCTCCTCTGGGGAGAACCCAGAGTGGAATCAGTGTGATTGCACAGGGCAGTTTTTAGGTGCATAACACACATTATGTAGTGTCGGATGAAAACAGGCTTTAATAGAAAAGGAGGACTACGGAGCCAGAGAGGCGGCGGGGTAGTTCAGAGCACACGCTGTTCTTGCAGAGGACTGGTTCGGTTCCAAAGACACACATGTGACTCAAAATTACCTGTAACCCCAGGGATCTGATTCCTCTAGCCTCAGTGGGCATCTGCACTAATGTGTACAAATTCACACACACACACACACACACACACACACACACACACACACACACAATCAAAAATAAATCTTAAAAGAAAATGTAAACGAGGACTGGTTTGGTCCTGAGTTCTATTTCTGACATAGGGAGAGTCAAATCAATTGTAAGATCTTGTAATAAGAGAAATAAAAGTATAAAGGGCTCAGTAACTCACTAAGAACATCAGCTCACTGGGTCACAGTAATAACTAACTTTTGCCGAGCGAGACGTGGTCCCGGTGGCCGGATAATTCCCTAAATATTTTTGTGATGTAAGTGGTAAGAGCGCATGTGGCTGCATTTATGTCTCCCCGTGCACACAAGGCCGTGAGCTTCAGTAGCTGGGGAAACTTGCCAGTGACACACAGCTCCAGGAAGGATGGCCTCCGTGCCCTCACAGCAGCTTTGACCACGTGTCCAGGACAGACAAACTTCCCTTCTCCTCTGTAGTGACGGATTCACTAGTCAACTGGGAAGACAGAAAAGCATGGCTTCTGCTGGTCACTTCATTTTCACCCGCATTTGTCTGTCTGTTTACCGTGAGGGACACGTGCGACCTAGGTGACAGTTTTGGTGGTTTCACACAGCCGAGGCAGCACGGTGTTCGCAGCTCGGAGCCACGGCCACTCCTCACGCCTTCTCCAGGCCACGAGGAGTGTTGGAAAGCACAGTTTATTGACTCAGTTTCCTACCTGCTCACAGTAAAAGGAGGCCCCCATAGCAGATGGAATCTACTGAGAAAGGTCACGTGTCCAGCTACATGCTCTTCCACTGTCGTGGGGTGACCTGAGTGTAACTCACATTTCCCTGAGACGTTGAATCTGCTGACTTAAAAGAGGGCCACCGTCTGGGGCATCTGTGTCCTTGCAGAACACATAGGGCACCTTTCGGCTGGCACTCAAGTTCCCAGCACGGCCTCGGTCTTAGATGACCCTTCATGTATGGGGGCTGAATTTGTCCCTTATCCACTCTTACAGGACGCACCTAGAAGTGTGAGCCAAGGCCAGAAAAGACACTGCTTCCTGCTAGAGGGTTGACAAGGGCTTTGTAGCAAACAGGAAGCAGTCATTTGAACAGCAGAAACCGTGGTTGTGACTGTGTGTGTGTGTGTGTGTGTGTGTGTGTGTGTGTGTGTGTGTATTTCTTGGTAGACTGTATTTGTGTATGGACCTGCATATATTTGCACATCTGTGTCTGTGAGCCTGTATGTACATCTAGTATGTATATGTGTCTGAATGTATATCATATGTGTGGAGGCTGCATGTCTTGAGGCTGGCTATATAAGTGATGTATCTGCCTGTGTGTCTGAATGAGCATAATTGTGTCTGGGGTGTGTGTGTTTGTGTGTGTGTGTGTGTGTGTGTGTGTGTATGTGAGAGAGAGACAGAGACAGAGAGAGACAGAGATAGAGAGACACAGAGAGAGACTATGTTTGTCTGTGTAGATGCATAAAATATGTGTATTTGTACATATGTATGTACCTGTGTGGATATGTGTCTGTATCTGAGTGTACATGTATATATGACTACATATGCATGTATGTGTGGCTGTGTATCTGGGAATACCCATGTGTTTTGGTCTGTGAGTCTATGTGTCTGTGTGTGTCTTCACAACTGCATATGTTTTGCATGGGTAGGATGTCTATGTATGCATGTGTCTCTGTTGCTGTGTTTATTTGAATATTTATTTGAAAATATACACTGTGTGTATGCAGCTATGTGACTGTGTTTCTATGTATGTATCTGTTCACGTGTATGTATCTATGTGAGCACATGTGTGTGTCTATGTATGCATCCATGTGAGGATGTATGTTCACATATGTGTGTCTCTGTATTCATTTGTATACACATTTGGCTGAATGGGCGAGTGAATATTTGGGTGTCTTTGTCCCAAGACTGTGTGAGAATGTATGTTTATGTGAGTGTATTATTTGTGTTCATATGTATGAATGTGTGTCTGGAAGAATGCATACATGGGTATATTTGTGTGAGTGTGTCTATATTTATGTTTGTATCTGGTGAATGCACATGTATCTGGTAATTATATGTGTGTATGTGTCTATGTGACTGTATGAGAATGTGTATTCATGTGTGTATCATCTGTGTTTGTGTGTGTGTGCATACATGTATATCTGGGTGTGTGCATATAGGTATGTCTGTGTATGCATGTGTGAAAATATATATCTATGTGTATTTCCATGTGTGTATCCGTGTTCATCTGTATGTATGTGTGTGTGTGTGTGTGATTGTTCACGTGTGTTTCTTTGTGTGCATGTCTGTGTAGCTGTGTGAGGTTGTACATTCATGTATGCTTCTGTGTCATATGTAGGGGTGAGTGCATGTGTGTGTGGTTTGTGAGAATGTAGGTTCATGTGTATATTCTATAGTTATGTGAGTATGTCTGTCTGTCTGTATCTGTGTGTCCAGGGTAGATTAGGACATAGTCCTAACCTGGGAGATGCTTCAAGATTCCTTGGAGGAATAGCAGACAAGAAGGAAAACCGTTTTGCTGGTCCATGGACATATAGTTCACAGAGGCAGGGAGGCAGGACAGAGTGGGTCATGCGAGTGACTGGGGCCTAAGCGATAGAGAGACAATTAGATGTCTAGGCCTTGAAGGACTAGTCAGGATTGATTTGTTTCCGAAAGCAACAGAATTATTAGGGACTTTACACATGCTGGCAACACTTGGCAGCTGGCAGTGCACGTCTGACCTTGAAAAATAATGTATTAGAGAGCCGCTGAACTCACGGTCGCTCGAAAGATTCCTCCAGAACTCCATGGCCTTTTCCATGTGAGGCAGAGGGGAAAGGCACTTTACTTAGGGACAGCAAACCACTACGTGGCAGCTATCGATGACACAGAAGACACTGAGAAGAAAAGGCTGCAGGGTGAGATGGGGGAACGCCAGTCTCACATACTGCCCAGTTAAAACCTTCGGATCCGTCGCCGCTTAGATCATGCCTTGAGTCTGACGATTTCGCTAGCATCAATAGCTGCCTGGCTGTTCTCACACGGACAAACCTTCAGTAGTGTCTAGATACTCGGGGCGTCTGCCACAGGCCCACGAAAACGATTCCGCTTCAGCATGAACACACATGATTGGTAGACCCAGTTCAGAAACCTGCTAGCAAAATTACCTTACAGAATTTTGGCAATAAACATTGTGTCCCCATAAAGTTTTGTGGAGCTTAGGAAAAAAAAAAAAACAGGTTTTTCCTGTATCAACTTGCCCTCTACACACTACACCAAAAGCAGCAGACCTAC